AATTATCTAATTTGCGTAGGAATTCCTACATTTTACATTTTAATCATGATCGATCATTTATTTTACCGTGATATAGGGTAAATATATGTACAGCACATGGCTTAAAGACATATAGTATCTACTATAATTACAAATATTACAGTTCTTGGAGATTGTAAGTCGTCAGAAAGAATAAATATCGGTGAACAATTCTATTTTTTCGCCAGGAATGTTGTCTGGCCGGATTTAATTATCGTTTTTATTTGTTGTTGTCTTTTTTTGTCTGCACTATTGCTTTTTAAGTCTGTAACTAGTCTTTTTGTCTTGTCTATTTTTAAACCAAAGAAATATCAGTTACAAATTGCCGGTTAGAGTATGCGACCGACCGCGCCGGCCTTATAAGGAAAAAGTAATAAGAGGTAACCGAACGAACGACGGGCATCGAGTTTGTATGGAATGTAATAATGACTCTGTGTGTATGAACACACTGTTAGTCAGTCCATTCATACAGCCATCTCAGTAGTCGTAGTAGTAGTGGCATAGTAGAAAACTAGGTTTTGAATTAGTTTTTTGTTTTGTTTTGTTGTTGTTGACTTTTTTCTAATGAATGGATGAATGAATTGGCGTAGTAAAAAAATCGACAATGCAATCAGCAGCAGTTGTGGTGGGTGCAAGAGTCTGTCTGTGTTTGGGGGGAACCCCCATTCAAAATACAAAAAGAAGAAAAAATCAACAACAACAAAAACATTGATTATTACTGTTGTTTATGTTTTGCCATAAAATTAATAATTTTATGGCTGAACATAAACAATATATGTATGGCTGGCAACCAAAACTTTATGTGGGATGGGATGGTGTTGTTTGTAAAGTGATTAATACTCCTGTTTTGACGGTGGAGAGAGAGGTCAAAGAAGAAAGTTTCATTAAATTTGTTAAACAAATCCAAAATTATAGATTTAAGGGTCGTTCTAGGTATTTCTTTACCATGTCATAAATATACAGCCTTGAAAAAATATTCGTCAAAATCCAAGGTTAAAAAATTATAGCTCTTATGGTTCTTTGAAAATAATCCCTGTATATACCTCTGACCGTTCCATAAAAATATTCTTTTAAAATCCAGGATTTTAGCTTTGATGGTTCAAAAAGATGTTCTTCAAAATCGACGGTGATAACTCTAACAGTTTCTATAAAATTATAGCTTTGAAAGTCTCAAGAAAAATACTCAATTAAAATTTGGATGATCCTTAAAAAATACTCTTACAAATCTTAATTGGCCCCTCCAAAACGAGATAGCGTTAACATATCCCACAAATCAAAAAGTTGGCCACAACATGACACACGCATAAATAAAGCAACACCTTCTCTCTCTTGCATTCTCCCTCCTACAAACGTATGAAAAATATCAGCTGCTGTCTCAATTGGGCGATCCCCATCAAACCAAAAATATAAAAAATTGTATGTCTGAATGTGCATAGATTTTTAATTTGTATTTTTAAAATAAAAGCCAGCAGCTGTTTTCATCCGACGCAGCAAAAACAAACAAAATTGTATTCTCATTAAAAACAAACGAAATAAGATAACATTTCTTTTACAGCTGTTTTGTGTGTGTTTTTTGTTCTATATTTACACAGGCCTTGATTGGTGTGTTGGCCGTGTGTGTACGTGAGTGAGTGAGGAGTGTAAAAAAATGTATGACAGCTACACCCAAAGTTATTGGGAGAGATAATTTTGCTATTGGGCCTTACAAATATCGATAATTATCGAAGAATTAGGTTACCATATGTAAAAATAATGGCTAAGTATTCGTCTAAATTTAGGCAAAGCAAGGGAATCTTGAACTGCCGCTTAATTGTCGGTATCTGTGGTCTGTTGGAGGTTTTGCAAAATTTCTCTGGGAAGTGGGCAAAAAAAAACAAAAACATCGGTGATGACGAACTTCACATCTAAAAGAGCGCCATCTTGATTTGAATATAAAGCGTTTGCGTACATATATGATAACTGTAAATTGATGAGCATACTTTTAGGCACTCGAAAAACTGACATGAAAACAACTGAAATTTAAGATTTTTTGAGAAAGGTACTAAATTAGATGGCTTAACAAAATAATCTAGAGAAAATAATAATTATAATTATATAAATAATTAAATAAATAAAACCGGTTAACAATTAAATTATTTGCTGGCAAAAATGATGATGATTTAGCAAACAGATGTCGCTGTTATAATACCACTTGTAAAATCTAGGGCCATTCCCCCTGGTAACCGATAAATTAAAGAGCCTAATTATATATTAAAAAAGGTTGAATTTGAAAACTACGCATTTTCAACTTCAGACAACAGTTAACTATTTTCGAAAGATTATTTGGTACCAGTTCAACTTTTTATAGATCTGTGATACTAGCGCCATCTCTACGTGGAGTCCGAAACTTTTCATGTGCTACGTTTCTTTCCTAGTAACAAGTTCATTTTTGTGTTGATCGAAAATTTTTAATGTAACTCGCCCAGATATTTTTGCAATGAACAAACAGAACAACGCCGCTCAGTCATAGAAATCCATGCAGCATGCTGGCCATTTCGCGTTGACATAATAAAAAATGCAATGGAACATCCTTAGAACCCTTACATGCATTACAACTGCAACTAGGAATGCCAAGTTGCACTACTTTAACATCTAAATATTAAGTATTACAGAATAAAAGGCAACTCTGGTCATTAACACCCAAACAACCAAAACACCACTCCTCTCTCCCACTACATTCTCAACGTTCTCATTTTGATCAAATGAAAAACAAAGAAAACAAACGTACAAGAAGCCATGTATAACAAGCACACGCAAGAACAAACATATTTCGTTTGTCAGCAGTTGTCTGTCACAGTATGGCGCGCAATGGCTGGCTGGCTGGCTGGCTATGATAGTAACTGGTGTAGTATAAACAACAGCCAGGCGGCCAGCTGCTTTGCGTATTTCATTGTTCTCTTCTCAACGAACGCCGACATACGTTCGTTTTCCTTTCATTTGTCTGTTGTAGCTGTGTTTTTGTTGAATTTTTATTCATCATTCATTTTAACCTCAAATGTACTGGAATAAAAAATGGGAATGCAAGGGGAAGAGTAAATTAGGTGCGTGTGTTCGCATTTTTGGAATTTATGGAAGTATTTATGACTGCCAAACAAACAGGGCAAAATAGCAGCTTCTCACAAAAATTTCTGCTCACAATCCAACCGCTCTCGTGTTGTTGCTGTTCATGGAGGGGGAAAATATGAATACACTGTCCCTATTGTTTGTCGCTGTTGTTGGCAAGTGTATACGTGCATTTTGTAAACAAAGCAATAAACATCATTTCTCTGTGTAAGGTGGTGGTGGTGGTGACGGTGTTGGCGTAATGAAAAAACGAAATGGCAATATTGCTCTCTCTCGCTTACTGGATTTCCGCTTTTGGCTTTATTCTACTTTAAGGCGCGTCAATCGAGACACAACAAAACAGAAGAAAAAAACATGTGTTTTCGCTGGTGTTTGTCGATGGATGGTGTTTCATTGCCATTCGTTTCGTTTGCAGCTGTTCAACTACACTACCGAAGAGTGGAATGTGAAATGAAACCAAAAACGTAAAGGGGCGAAAATGTTATTCGCCGCTAAACACAACCACGCCGCCAAACAACATTTTGTGTTATACGAGAGAGAGAGAGTATTTTTTGATATGAGAATGTGAGACACAACACAGATGACGCCGTCATTGCTGCCGCCGCCGCCATTCACACACCAAAAAAGTACAGTCATCGCAAAAACGAACAGCGGAATGAATTGTTGTTTACAGAAAATTGAAATAAAAGAGGAATGAGAAAAAAACAAAAGCCGCTAAAAACATATGATTCAGCCACACAATATAACCCAGCCGCAGCAGCACCACAGCGTGCCGGTGGCAGCGGCAAGGTATTGAAAATATTCGGAAGAATATAATTGCAAAGAAAAACTGAAAGTACAAAAACAACGTACATTTGGTTTTGTTTTGATGATGTACTTACTTGCGTTCGTAGTTGTTGGGTATTTATAAATAAAAATTCCAATTTTTCATGTTGTTGCGGTGGCTGGCTGGCTGGGTGGAGAAAAACAACAAATAAGTTACTTTGTTGCTGGACAATTGTGGGGGCTTAATTAAGATATTTTTAAACCGTTATAATAGCGCACAGGTAGAATCTTTATCTCTATGGGTACAGCTGTTTGTGGAATACAATAGATTCCCTCCCCTTACATGCAACAATATGAGCAAATATTTGATATTGAATTTGTCATTCCGTTTGCTGCACCTCGAAATATTTGTTGGATAGGCGTACGTCTCTGGCATGAAATATGGAATTCACGATGGAGCCTCTTGCACTATTAAAGATAGAATTTTGAAATTTTTTACAGCATACCAATTCTTATCACGATGTTTGTTATATCAGTCTACGTTTAGGTATAGTCATCATATAATTAGCTGTAATTTCATATTTTGGGTTCTTAGTGGGTATATTAAGTGGAGGCCATTTAACCAGGCAGTCACTATACATTCTACAAACTATAAACATATAAACTATAAACCATAAACATTACTCTCCGAATCACTGTTCTTTAGAGATCAGTGATTTGGTTCGTGCAGAGTTATGCAAACTAAATTTGGTACAATAAATGATACTAGGTAGGAACATGGTATTAATAAACATGCAAATAATATTTAATACAACCAAAATATGCCTCTTTTGACTAAATACGTTCCCGTACACTTCCTAATATTTTTTCCCCTTCCTTCAATTCCAAGTGGAAACATTTCCCGCCAAAAAATATTTGCACCAGAAAAAATAGACAACATACAGCAATTTTTATGCTAATTGGGAGAGAGAGAGAATTTCTTATAGGAATTTTCTCAATTGTCAAATGACGGTCATGTTTGGACGTTTGTTGACAGGCGAAACATAATCTTTTTAATTATGAATTTCTTTTCAAAAACCCAATTTTAATTCTTTCTTGTTTTGTTCTCCTTACAGGCCGCTATCCTACAACAAACGTCACAGTACATCTGCGAGCTGGAAAATCAGAAAACACAACTATTGGCACAAAACAGCCAACTGAAACGTCAGTTGGGACAACATGAAGCAACAGGTGGCAGCAACAATGCCTCGGGCGGAAATAACATGGACAATACAACAACAAATCCATCGACAGAAAATAACCCCAACATAGCCATTAAAAAACGTAAACTAACCGATAATGTGGTGGCCAATGCACAAACAATAAGCGATTCATCGGATGAAGGTCTCGGCTCGATGTCACCCGAACCTATGACCCTGTTAAATGCTGCCGGTGGCGGTAGTGCTGCAGTGGTAGCTGCAGCAAATGCAGCCGCCAATGCAGCCAATACAAAAGCTCAAATCCTTTTAGCCCAAAATGTCAAAGAGTTGACGGAGTTGAAGGATCAATTGTTTAAGGAGCGACGTCTGCGTACAATGTTGGAGGAGGAACTGCAAATGATTAAGAGACAGTTGTATTCGGTGGCAACAGCGCCGCAACCCAGCGCTGTAGTCGAAGCCGACGAAACAGATGGCGCCACCACCTACATTCCCCGCGAAGTGATCGAACACACCGGTAATTTGCTGCGCGGTGAAGAGTGCGAGGAGTTTTCATATGTCGAAATAGACGAGCTGACGGGCCAACAACAGGTGGTTGTTTGCTCTAGCATTGAAGAGTTAGATAGCGAAACTGCTGCCGCCGAAATCATCACCGAAGATCATGTCCACGAGGAGGTGGTCTTGTCATCATCATCCACAGAATCCGAGCAAGAAGTTGCTGTTAATGCCATAGCCAAAGTATATGCCGAAGGTAGTACACCAACTCCCGCCATGTTACAGCCAATTCTGCAGGCTGCCATTAAGGCAACACCCAAAGTGGAGGTGGAACGTATATCAGATGCTGCCCTTAAAAAGGTGAAAACCGAGAAGATTGAACAGACAAGTGGTTTGACACGTTCACGGCAAAATCTCGAAACAATTGTGGAGGCAATACGCCATCTGGAGGGTGATCACCTCTTCACCGACAGCAATGGAGAACAACACAAGGTGGTGCTACAAACCCAAGCAGTGCGAGGAGCAGGCGGCCAGGAAGTTCCTTTGGCCTTGACCACCAAACAACATGTGGTGGCCCAACGTAAAACGTTGGCCGAGCTAAGGCCGTTTCTACAACTGAAGGGTGGTAGCAAGATTTTGATTGGCGGTGCCGGTGGCAGCACAGCACTCACCTTGACAAAAACAACAGTTCCCAGCAAATTGGCAGCCACCTCCACAGGCAGCAGTAGCAGCAACAGCAGCAGTACGGTGGTATCACAAAATATCACACCCACCGCCATTTTCAAAGTTCAGACAAATTCATCAAATGCCGCAGGCGGCACCACAACCATAACACATGGCTGTGCCACCACAACAACATCAAGTGGTGGTGGTGGTGGAACAGGCTCCATAACCACCACAGCACTGAAACAATGTCGTCCCGGTGTTATTGTGGCAAAGAAACTGTCTTGATTTCGCGGCCAACAACAACAAAAGCAGCAGCATGCATTACACGAACATGCAAATGCCGAGGATCATAATAAAGCCGAAAACGCAGTAGAAGAAGATGAAGAAGAGGAGGAAGTAATAAAAGGAATTCAGTTAAATAATGCATTGCAAAAGAATAGTGAAAAGGAAGATTTAGTTAATAAAATCCCCCAATTGGTAGTAGAGGGACATTATGATGAGAATTTAACGACAAATGATGGAATTAATATTGAAAATGATGAGAGCCATGATGAAGATTACGACGACGATGATGATGATGAGAATGACAAAACCCAACAACACGAAGTCATGTATAAAATAGATGAAATCTTTGAAGAAATTTTAATTGAAGCAGAAGATATTGACACATTGTCGTCGCCGTTGCCGTCGTCTTTGGCAAAACTGTTCAAATCGAATAATGTAAACAATTCTAATTCTAATAATTGTATGAATCATACAATATCAGCGACCACAAAAACAACACCATCAGACAACATACAACAACAAATTGTATCCAATCAAATCCTTACACTTTCTACATCCCATCCTTGTCCTCCTCCGCCTGCTTCTCAAGCCCCCAGCATCATCAACACCAGTAACACCAAACTGATGATGATGACGAAGAAATCTTTGAAGAAAACAACCAACAACAATAAATTAAATACAATACCATGTATTTTGAAACAAACAACAACGGCAAACACTACTCCTTTAAAAACTAAATATTGTATGAGTAATTCTAGTAGTTTAAATAAAAATAATAATAATAATATTCATAAGTTGTTTAATAATACAAATATTAATAATAATATTAATAATTATTCTAGTTTTAAAAATAATTCTAATATTAATAAAAATATTGATAATCTTAAGTTTAGTATTAATAAAAATGTACATTTTTTAAATACTATCGGAAAAAATAATAATAATAATAACAACAACAACAAAAACTATAGTAATAAATTTACAAAACCCAATTCTATTATTGCAACACCAGCAGCAGCCACAGCATACAAAAACAAAATGAAAATGATGGCAGCAAAACCATCTACAATTATTACAACTGCAACAAAAAATTACAACAAAAACAAACAACAACAACAACATCAGTCTGTTTCTTAATAATGATGAACGATTATGTGCATCTTCCCATTGGCTTTTTAATGAATGGGACACGGACAACACACGTTTTAAACAATTCCCAAAGCCAAGGGATGTTCCAAAAGAATTCTTAAATTTGACCGTTTAATTAATTTAAATTTCAAAATCTCGCTTAAATTTTTATCAGGATTTAGATAAAACAATTTTGTTACATTTACTACACAGGTATTTTTTTTTTCTAATTTGAAATCCAAAAAATAAACAAAAACATTCTGATCTTTACAAAAAATAAATTTCCTTTGTTTTGTATTAATTTTTTTTCTGATAACTGTTAGGTTTAGCCAACAATACAGTGTGAGACAAAAAAAAAAACTGCAAAAAAGTCAAAAGCCATAATTTTTACAATTTTTTTAAATTTCATTGAATGAAAGCAAAAAATGTCGGAAATAGCATCAAATTTTAGAATAAGTATAGATTTGTTCGAATTGGCCACCTTTGGCACGAATTATGGCCTTCAAACGGCCAATGAAACCGTCACACACTGCTCGAATGTTGTTCTGCGGTATTTTGGCCCATTCCCGCCGAAGCGCTTGCTTGAGGTGATCGGCACTTTGGTATTTTTTAGTGCGAACCTTGCCTTCCAGATACAATAGTCCAATGGATTGGTATCCGGAGATTTTGGTGGCCATTATGCTCTGGAAATGAAGTGAGGAACCTCTTTTTGTAATCATTCTTGGATAATTCCTGTTGGAATGTCCAAGGTCTGCGGACAAAATGTTTGCTTGCCCAAGGCTTTAATACACCCTTCAGAATATTTTCTCGGTCGATTAATACGAGCGGAGAGCGACCATCGGCTGTTATGGCGAGCGACCATCGGCTGTTATGGCGGTCCACACCATCACCATGGCCGGCGTCGCTTGAGTTCTGGTGGCCAACCGAAGGTGCACATTTTAAGCTGACCTCTTTGGCAAGTATTCACGATCATTTTGTTTGTTTACAAACTGCAGGACAATGAATGTTTTCTCATCGGAGAAAACCAAATTCGGCTGTTCACCACCCTCGGCCAAACGAAGCAACCCTTTAGCTCTTTTGAGTCTATGTTCCTTCTGTTGCTGTGTAAGTTCTTGCACTTTTTGGAATTTCAATGGCTTTACGCCGAGCTCATTTTTCAAAATATTTGCCGAGTGGAATAATGCGATATGTTCAGCTCACGAGTCATTTTTCGGCCACTGCGACGCTGGTTTCGATCAAGTCGCTTCTTTACTTTTCGAAGCATTTCTGCTGATGTTGCTGTTTTCTTCCGTCCACTTCCTTGACGTCGGGCTACGTTAACGAGCGATGGTACGAGACACAAATTTATTCACATTTAAATGCTGGAGTGCTCTAACGATAGCCACTTTTGGTTTTCCAGCCAAATACGAATAACTTTTTTTCTGGAAAATTCTCACCAAAATGCTTTTGTACGCTTGTAAACGATATAATGAGCTGTCACTGGAATAATTTTAACAGCTGTCGGACAAGTGGTTTAGAAATGACAGCAGTCTGAAGTTGCTTGCAGTTTTTTTCATCTCACTCTGTATTTTTCTGTGTTCGAATAAATTGAAATTAAACCATTAAGAATTTTTTCTAATTCAAAAAAAGATTCGAAAATTTAAAGGCAAAGGTTTATGGCGACTGCCTAGTGTAGGAGAACTTATTCCGACCCATTGTGTTAATTCCAAAGGAGAAGTCTTATAATTTTAGAAGAGAGAAAGTTTAGGTGAATTTCCATTTTAAGTTGGAATGAAACAAAGAAAGCAAGGGGAGTCGATGTGGCAGGTAGAGTAAGACTGGTTTAATTTCTTTGACGAGGACCTCCGTGTGGTTGCAGCCAGTTACTGTTGAGTGGCGGTTGATTCTTGTCTCCGAATATTCCAATAAAAAACTATGAGACAGTGTTATAGAAAATGCTGAATGGAGACCATGGGTTCATTGTATCAATCTTAAAAATATATAATAAACCGACAGGAAAGAGAAATGTTTAACTTGAAAAACAAAAAGTGTTTAAAAATAATTTTTAGCTACAAAAACTCACATTGACGCCAATCAAACTTTGCAGTGGTGCCTAAATTATTTCCCAGAGGCTTTTATAGAACCTGGAAGAAGAACACACAAGAACCAAAGGATCCAATGAAGAGGGTTGATATTTCATATACCTAATTGTTTTCGTCTCGAGTGCCTCTTTGCATAGGACTGAGATATACCAGGTTGTACATCGTCTTCATCCCCTTCTCGCAGATAATACAAAATTATCGGTTCCGTACCCCACGTACTAGTATAAAGACCTAGAGTCAAAAATGTAGCAAGTTTAATTTTCTAAGAGAGATGAAGTTTAGCCAAAAAAAACTTCAATTTATTCGAAAATAATTTAAAGAATTCGACAGAGATGGCAAAATGTGATGGTTTCAAAAACCGGCCGTCAGAGTACTATAAATGTGTTTATTTCACTAGATATTGTAATTTCCGGTTACCTAGCGGAATAGTATTTGCTCAGCAGGTCTTCAAGGACACTAATTTTTAATAGAGCAGAAATTTATGAGCCGCTTACCCGTTGATTTATTTTAATACCCACCCACAGCCAAAAAAAAAAAAAACACTACGGGATGCAAATTCTTGCGACATAGAGAGAATTTGGACTCAATTCCAATCTCATTTATAACACTGTCGTATACAATGCTCCATTCAATTGCTACAGGGTCCAAGAATCATTCATTCTTTTTGTTAGGTAGTTATGAGCGGTATGCGATATATTCGCTAGCTTGATCTGACAGCTAAATACTTGTGGAATACTTATTCGTCCTTAAAGGGAGGTGCTCCACGCATGATTCTACATTACTTTAGGCCTAAAACCCCTTTCCACTCCCTAATTTTTGTATAATTTTTGTAGATGGCTTGCCCATCTGATGTTTAGAATCATATTCAAGGATGCCTCTGTAGTGTAGTGTTTCGACATCTTCAGTATGAGATCAGACGAATTTATGTTCAGCCTACAGCAGAACCCAGCTAAGTTACTCCCGCGTCCTCGTTTCTTTAGCGTTCCCCAATCTTTTGCAGTGAACACAGCTCTGTGCTGGATCATTTTATGTTAAATCATTAATTATTTTAAATTCATGGGAATTGCCATGGGCCATTTTATAAGCTATGTTAGAGTTCTATGTAATGGGCACTTCGAAATTTTATTTTTCTAGCACTAATTTAGGTGGTCACTGTGAACTTTATTTATTTTAACTTCATTACACATTCGTTTATAAAATGGTGGATAACGCCTAAAATTATGCTATAAAATGCTAATCAAATAAAAGGTCATTTTTCATAGGACTCTTATATTATGTTTACATTTGACCTTATTTTGCCGGAATGACCTTTAAGAGGGGTTTCTAAATCCGGTGTACTACAAAAAATGTGTCGTGTGTTTAAAGATCTTAAAAGAAAAAATAAATTTTTGTTTTTTTCCTTAAATCATAAAGTTGTTTATAAGTTGTCCCTTTAAAAATCGTAATACAAACCTAAAAAAAAAACAAGCAATAACAGTACTTGACGAAACCGCAAAAAAACAAATTGAAATATTTTTATTTGTAGCAATATACCAACCAACCAACAACAACAAAAAGTACAAAACTTTAAAAAAAAAATAGCAAAACAAGGACAAAAAATCATAATACCATTGTAAACAACATTCAATAAAATAATTTACCAAATGCTGCATTGAATATAGTAAGAAATATATATCGACGAGAAAATAACCTCAAAAAAAAGAAAACATGAATTATTTTTTATTACTTTAGTTTTGTAAGAAGTACTCAATACCATCGCAATTTTTAGATGATTTTTTCTTATTAATTATACCCAAAAAAATAAAATAGTTTGCATTACAATGTTCTGAAGAGGAGGTAAAAATTGAAAAATAAAAAAAAATAATTAGAAGCGGACCTGTAGTGGAATTCTCCAAAGGTGGGAATACATAAAGCGCTTATTTGGCTGGATTCCTCGGAAATGAACAAAGGAGCCTAGGGCCAAAATCAAACTAAGTCAACCTGAAACTCCTTTGTTCCTTTACGAAGAAGCCAGCCGAAAAAGAGCTTTATGTATTCCGACCTTAACGCAGTTTTTGAATTACCGCAGATATCGATAAAATTACCCTCCACCATAGTATGGAGGGTATATTAAGTTTGTCATTCCGTTTGTAACACCTCGAAATATACACTTTAGGCCACACAAAGTATATATATTCTTGATTAGCATAAAATTCTATGTTGATTTTGCGATGTCCGTCATCACTCTAGCTTCCGAACGAAATGAAGTAGGTTGATAAAATATTACTCAAATGTGTATCATGTCTGCAGGACTTTCGATATTGAAAATGGGTGATGTAGGTCCACGTGTTGGTATCGCCCCCATATAATGGTACAACCCTTTTTCGGTATTTTGGCGATTTAAGCGACATTATTCACCGGAATTGTTTCAAATGGGGTATTTGAAGTTTGTAGTGGGTACTGCAGACTATGACAAAAAATTGTCTGTGCAGGTCCACGTCTTCGTATAGCCCCCATATAATGGAACTTCCAGATATTCGGTATTTTGATGATTTTAGCGACATTATTCACCGGAATTGTTTCAAATTTGGTGTTTGAAGTTCGTAATGAATATTACAGCCTATGACAGAAAACTGTCTGTGCAGGTCCACGTCTTCGTATAGCCCACATATAATGGTACCTACCGATATTCGGTATTTTGATGGTTTTAGCGACATTATTCACCGCAATTGTTTCAAATTTGGTATTTGAAGTTCGTAGTGGGTACTACAGCCTATTACAGAAAATTGTCTGTGCAGGTCCACGTCTTCGTATAGCCCCCATTTGACGGTACCTCTAAATACTCGGTATTTTAATGATTTGTGCGACGTTATTCACCGAATTCACCGAAAATTTTATTCAAGTTCCGCATTTGAATATTGTAATGGCTTATGACAAAAGTTGCCTATGCAGATCCACGTCGTCGTATAAACCCTAACATAACGACTACATTCGGTATTTTTAAGATTTTAACAGAATTTTTAACGGATTTATTTTTTTTTAATTGCCAAAATAGTTCCAAATGGTGGAGGGTATTCAAAGATCGGCCCGGTCGAACTTACAGCTTTTTTACTTCTACTTTTATTTTAAATGCATAAATTGTCTATTGAAAAAAAGTAAAAAAAAAATGAAAATAAGTTGAAAAAAATTTGCAAACAATTTATTGTAAAGCTAAAAATAAAAAGCAAAAATTTAATTTTTGTTTATTTTTATAAAAAAGAAATAAAAATTATAAAAAATTGTTTCTAGTAAAATTATTATAAAGAAATAAAAAAATATTAATTTCTATGAAATTGTTTAATTTATATAACATAATGTACATATGCAAAAAAATATTTAAAAAAATGAAAAATACAACCATAAAATAAAATTTCGTTTTATATGCATAACAAAAGACTAACATAAAAAATAACGTGTTTACAAATAATAAAACAAATAATACGTATGAATTTTTTATATAGAAAAAACAAAAAAACATGTAACGAGCGAAAAAAACTACCAAAAATATTCAACAATTTATATACACACATACATACATATGCGATAATGAAAACGATGCAGAGCATTTTTTGCTAAACAACAAATAAACTAACTTACATTCAAATAAACAAAAGAAAATTTTTTCGCTTTATAATTACATTCATAAATATTGTCATATACTTACATAAATACACAAAAAAAAATAACTATATTTATGCCGAAATAACTAAAAAATACGCTATCTACATGTATACATAATTAAAATTTAATAAAAAAAATATCTATAAAAATATTTATAAATATTGTTTAATCTATATACATAGATACATCAAATATATACATACATTATTCATAACAAACAAACAAAAAAACTGCAGTCTCTTATAAACATAAATAAATAAATTATATTATAAATTATTATTATTACAAAAAATTATTATAAATAAAAGCATTATTTTATGTTCTAAACCCTCTAAATGTTGTTTGTTGGTGTTTTATTTGTTGGGAGACACTGCCAAATGTCGGAGATATACAGTGAGATGAAAAAACTGCAACCAAATTCAGACTTTTCTTCTTTTCTAAGCCACTCGTCCGACAGCTGTTACCATGGTAGAAATATCAGGTAGCAACATAGGCGAAAATTACAACAAAGCAACTTTTTTGGAAACTTGATATGTCAAAATTGAAAGCAAAGCGAATTTACCTGACATATAAAATTTGAAGCAAATTGGTTTGCACCAATTAGAACAATTTTGAAATATTGAAAAATAGTGTTTATTTTTAAATTTGTATTGAAATTTCAAGCAAGAAAATGTTGTGTTGTTGTGAATTGTACTGTTTTGTACGTTTCCCGGTTTAAGAGAACTCGATAAAAGCAAACAATAGCATATAAAAATGCGATAAATGCCCGCGGAATGGAAATCTCAATGGAAACAAATTCAATAAGAATTCAGAAAACTCAATATATGAGGAAGGAACCATCAACAATATCAACATTAAACGGTGAATTTCCGATCTCTACCATCTTTATTACAGACCTTGTGTAGATGAAAATATTCAGATGTACCAATTCTCAATAGAAACAGATGTTAATTTCTCGTTTTATGAGCTTCATGGATTTTCAAAATTTTGAGCCTTTGTGGGGGAGGCACCAGAAGGAATGGACCGATATACCCATCTTCACAGCTTATCTTGAGTTAGTAGAAATAATGGGATGTGTAAAATATAAAAAGAATATGATGCCTGTTTCGGATTAAATAAACGTTTTGGTTATTCAAAAAATATTGGTATATATGAAATGTTGACCCTTTGTGGGGAAGGTACTTGATGGTACTAACCTAGCACTGATGCAAATATCTGGATTATCGTTTCTCTTTCTTTGCAAAAAAAAAAAAATTTTTTTTGAAAATGCTGACCTTTTGTGCGAGAGGATATGTAAAGTTTGAACGAAATCTGATGCTCAATAAGATACAAATTATTTTCTTTGAACGTGTTGGCGTTTTGTGAGGCAAGACCGATTCCCATCTTGATCTTATTTTGATAGATGTATTACGATGCGCCAAATTTGGACAAAATCGAATACTCCTTCCTTATCGTGCGTACAAACAGACTGTAAGGCGGACATCGCTAAACGGACTCCAAATGTCTGAAACGGATTACGTCCAAAGAGACCTAGGATTCAAAACCATTATTTCGGTGCCATTTGGTTGAATAGTATAAGGAATTCTAGGTTTATTTGTTGTTTCCGTTTGAAGTTTAAATTTATGCTATGTATCTGTAAGGCGAATTCAAATTACAACAATTTTTTTGACGTATCAAATTGATACCAGCTGGCGTGAAAGGGTTACCTTGTAATTCTACCATGGCTGTTACAATTATTCCAGTGACAGCTCATTATATTGTTTACAGGCGTACAAAAGCATTTTGGTGAGAATTTTCCAGAAAAAATGTTATTCGTAATGGAATTCATAGCGTGATGGTGTGATTTCTTTATATTTGGCAGGAAAACCACAAGTGGCTATCGGTAGAGCACTCTAGCATTTAAATGTGAATAAATCTTTTGTGTCTCGTGCCATCGTTCGTTACCGTGATACTGGTAGTGTAGCCGGACGTGACGTCAAGGAAGTGGACGGAAGAAAACAGCAACATCAGCAGAAATGGTTCGAAATTTAAAGAAACGACTTGATCGAAACCAGCGTCGCAGTGACCGTGAGCTCGTGAGCTGAACATATCGCAATATTCTATTCGTATTATTCGAATATTGAAAAATGAGCTCGGGGTAAAGCCATTGATATTCCAAAATAACAGCAACAGAGAGAAAATAGACTCTAAAGAGTTGCTTCGCTTGGTTTTCTCCGTCTCCGATGAGAAAACATTCGTTGTCCAGCATTTTGTAAACAAACAAAATGATCGGGTTTACTTGCCAAAGAGGTCAGCTGCTAATGTGCACCTTCGGTTGGCCACCAGAACTCAAGCGCCTGTCATAGTGATGGTGTGGACCGCCACAACAGCCGATGGTCACTCTCCGCTCGTATTAATCGACCGTGGCATCAGAATAAATGCCGAACATTATCGCGAAATATTCTGGAGGGTGTATTGAAGCCTTGGGCATGCAAACATTTTGGCCGCAGACATTGGACATTCCAACAGGACTCAGCACGCGCCATCCAAGAATGGTTACAGAATGAGATTCCTCGCTTCATTCCCAGCCAAAATCTCCGGATACCAATCCGTTGGACTATTGTCTCTGGAGTATTTTGCAAAGCATGATTGGTACTAAAAAATACCAAAATGTCGACTACCTCAAGCAAGCGCTTCGCCGGGAATGGGCCAGAATACCTTAGAGCAATATTCGGGTAGCGTGTGAGGGCTTTATTGGGTGTTTGAAGAGCATAATTAGTGCCAAAGGTGACCAACTCGAGCAAATCTAAACCTTAATTTAATGCTATTTCCGACATTTTTTGCTTTTATTCAATAAAATTTAAAAAAATGTAAAAATAATGGCGTTTGACTTTGTTGCAGTTTTTTTTTATCTCACCCTGTATTTAAAAGTCTATTTGACACTACAAGACTCCAGCACAGAATTACATTTTTGTAGTTTCTTGAAGTATAGCAACCATAAGCCAGGATTTGTCGTAAACATTTAATCTGTCAAAGAAAAGGCGTTGTGACCACACAACAAAACTTTTACCACAATTAAATCCTAATAGTTAAGTGCCTATAACATCTATACACCTATAAAAATTTATTCAACAAATTATTATAAGTAACTGGTACTCATCAATTCAAACGTCTCATCTCTTAATTCCATCCCTGACCAAATCAGCTGATGTTATGCGCAAAGCTTTTCATCTGGCAACGCCAAACCTTTGTTGTCATGTTTATTTGCATTGTGTGGGGAGAGTATTGTGAATTATTTTGTTGATTGAGCAGAAAAAAGTCGCACAAAAAACTTTTCTCCGAGAGACAAGAAAACGATAAATGTAAAAAATTCAAGTTAACTATTAAATTATTGTTTAATAAATAAAAAGAAAACAAACAACAACGAATGTCGGAAGGATGTTGAAATATTTCAAAAAACAAAAAGGTAAGTGAAAATACAAGAAAGAGGAGCAGCAGCCGAGTTTGTTTTCATATCAATCTCAAACGGGATAATAAATAAACTGCGACGTTGGCAGAGCAAATATGGTCATGCTATATCGTCATAGAGAAGACAACTTCTTTATAAGGCTCCAGGCAAGATTGAACAAGATTGCAAAGTTTTGCAAAAGCATGTTCCTCGCGCAATTTTTGCCATTGCAGAGGGAAAAAGTGTCGGTTTTGTGATGTAGAAAAGCCTCTTTTCATGTGTTTATTAAAAGAAAACTGGGAACAACTCTAGTTTAGTAAAAACTCTTAGATTTTTTCGAAATTTTTTCCAGAGGTAGGTATTTTTACCCTGATCCCGGGAAACTATTTTTTTCTTGGCGGACGGACCCGGGACCCCAGATTTTTGACCCAAAAGTCCGGGATCAAGACCCCGCCTGGACCCGGATCCACTTACCCGATATAGACAATATGGGTATCGATTGAAAGCTTATGGAAATACCTATCCAACAAGTGGTCACAAGGGGTAAGTTGTCATGGTTCGGAAGTTATAGTCAAATTATCGATTTTTTGGACCCGGATTTTTTATGAAACCCCCAAAAAGTCAAAAAAGGGCCCATTATGGGGGTCAACAAAATTGTTTCCAAATTATAGCTGACACTCTTACCTTTCCAAAATGCTACAATTTGTGCTAATACCTTTTTCGGTTCCAGAGATATGGGTCTTTCCATCCGCATAACCCGATTCTAACCAGTTCATTAAAATTATGTTTTTAATAAAAAAAGTGTTTATTTCGCGTAGCAGTCGTCGGAATAACAAAAGTTTTCTAAATTTGGCACTTTTTGTAAATAGCCGGCCTTCGGCCGGGGCTTGAGATTTTCACCTATGGGTATGTCCGACCCCGGCTAACGCGAACAAAAGGTTCATAATTTCGGCACTCTTTGTAAATAGCCGGCCTTCGGCCGGGGCTTGAGATTTTCTCCTCTGGGTATGTCCTACACCGGCTAACGCGAACCAAAGTTTTCTAAATTGGATACCTTTTGTAAGTAGCCGGCCTTCGGCCGGGGCTTGAGATTTTCTCCTCTGGGTATGTCCTAAACCGGCTAACGCGAACCAAAGTTTTCTAAATTTGACACTTTTTGTATATAGCCGGCCTTCGGCCGGAGCTTGAGATTTTCTCCTCTGGGTATGTCCCACACCGGCTAACGCGAACCAAAGTTTTCTAAATTTGACACTTTTTGTAAATAGCCGGCCTTCGGCCGGGGCTTGAGATTTTCTCCTCTGGGTATGTCCCACACCGGCTAACGCGAACCAAAGTTTTCTAAATTGGATACCTTTTGTAAGTAGCCGGCCTTCGGCCGGGGCTTGATATTTTCTCCTCTGGGTATGTCCTACACCGGCTTACGCGAACCAAAGATTTCTGAATTTCATTCTTACGCAAAATATACCTTTTTTATTGAAAACATAGTTTTAATGAACTGGTTAGAATCGGGTTATGCGGATGGAAAGACCCATATCTCTGGACTCAGTAAAGGTATTAGCACAAATTGAACCTTTTTGGAAAGGTAGAAGTGTCAGCTATAATTTGGCATCAATTTTGCTGTCCCCCATAATGGACCCTTTTTTGACTTTTTGGGGGTTTTATAAAAAATCCGGGTCCAAAAAATCGATAATTTGACTATAGCTTCCGAACCGTAAGATCTTACCCCATCATGTGACCTTGGATAGGTATTTTCATAAGCTTTCCAACGATACCCATATTGTCTATATCGGGTAAGTGGATCCGGGTCTAGTAGGGGTCTCGAACCCGGACTTTCGGGTCAAAAATCTGGGGTCCCAGGTCCGTCCCCCAAGAAAAAAATAGTTTCCCGGGATCATGGTTAAAATACCTACCACTGAAAAAATTTTCGAAAAAATTGAAGAGTTTTTACTAAACTAGAGTTAAGCCGAAAACTGCCATGGACGTTTACAAATAACTGTTAAAGGATGATTAAAGGATACAACTGTTAAAATATCAAAATCATTTATCGGAATCTTTAAATTTCATCAATTTCCAAAAAGCCGCAGGGAAATTTGACATTTGTATTCATATTCTTTCTCTGTCTACCAACAACAATGGGCATGTATATAGTTATTAATTAAAGCAAGAAAAACAACAACAACAAAACAACCAAAAAACCGACGACATTCCCAAAGCAAAACAATATTTGAAATTCTTTGGCATAGTTTTTTGGTTGTTGAACTTTTCTCCGACTCCGATTTTGATTTTGCTGTGCTTTTGCTTTCTGTCTTTGTAGGTCGCCTAAATTCGACTAATGAAAATGACCAACATTACAAAAACAACAATAACGATGTTGTTGATCAAGTTGATAGCGGTTGTATTGCTGCCGATGGTGCTGGAGGTGGTGGCGGTGGGGGTACGGCAGCAGTCCGGCATGTTGTTACACCTGAAGAAATGACTGAAGCCTCAGCAGCCAAACGTCATTCGTTGCGATCAACATCAAGTTTCTGCGATGAAGTTTTTCTTGAAGAATTGACCAATATGGGAGGCTTAACTTCACTCTATTCATCATCCACAGCAGCAGTTGGTGGTTGCGGAGCAATATCCGATAGTGATGATGCTCTTAGCTATGGGGCTTTAAGTTTAGGTGCACTTAGCTGTAGTAATGCCGGTGGTGGCTCATTAGCAGCGCAACACTACACGACATCAACGGGGGCTGTGAATTCAATTGTGGGATTTGATGAAGGTATGTTTATTGTTGTTTATTAACGTACATCCACACATACCAATGATTTTTATAGTTAACGACGATTATTTCATTGTATTTTTTGTGGGTAATTATAAATTCAATCGTGAAGTGAAATATGAATAAATTATAGTTTGTTTGTAGGGTGACGAGTTGAATGATGTGTGATGAGGCGTATGGGATGAAAAGTTAAGGACTTTTGAAACATATTTTTAAAAGACAAGCAGAGTTATGAGAGTGGCTTTCAAATTTTTGGACCATCTCTGCTGTAAAAGAGGATTTTGAAATTGTATTTTTTCATGGCCTACATCTGATATAATCGTCGATTTTTAAATCATATTTTTTCACGGACTATCTCTGCCATAGGCGTGGATTTTTAAATCATATTTTTTCATGGACTATCTCTGCCATAGGCGTGGATTTTAAAATCATATGTTTTCATGTACTTTCTTCGCCATAGACGTGGATTTTAAAATCATATTTTTCATGGACTATCTCTGCCATAGGCGTGGATTTTAAAATCATATGTTTTCATGTACTTTCTTCGCCATAGACGTGGATTTTAAAATCATATTTTTCATGGACTATCTCTGCCATAGGCGTGGATTTTAAAATCATATTTTTCATGGACTGTTTCTGTCATAGGCATGGATTTTTAAATCATATTTTTTCATGTACTTTCTTTGCCATAGGCGTGGATTTTTAAATGATATTTTTTCATAGACTACCTCTGCCATAGGCATGGATTTTTAAATCAAATTTTTCATGGACTAGCTCTGCCATAGGAGTGGATTTTTAAGTCGTATTTTTCATGGTCTGTTTCTGTCATGGATTTTCAAATCATATTTTTTCACGGACTATCTCTGCCATAGGCGTGGATTTTTAAATCATATTTTTTCGCGGACTATCTCTGCCATAGGCGTGGATTTTAAAATCATATTTTTTCACGGACTATCTCTGCCATAGGCGTGGATTTTTAAATCATATTTTTTCACGGACTATCTCGGCCATAGGCGTGGATTTTTAAATCATATTTTTTCACGGACTATCTCTGCCATAGGCGTGGATTTTTAAATCATAATTTTTTATGGACTATCTCTGCCATAGGCGTAGATTTTTAAATCATATTTTTTCATGGACTATCTCTGCCATAGGCGTGGATTTTTAAATCATATTTTTTCACGGACTATCTCTGCCATAGGCGTAGATTTTTAAATCATAATTTTGTATGGACTATCTCTGCCATAGGCGTAGATTTTTAAATCATATTTTTTCACGGACTATCTCTGCCATAGGCGTGCATTTTTAAATCATTTTTTTCATGGACTATCTCTGCCATTGGCGTGGATTTTTAAATCATTTTTTTTTCATGGACTATCTCTGCCATTGGCGTGGATTTTTAAATCATATTTTTTCATGGACTATCTCTGCCATTGGCGTGGATTTTTAAATCATATTTTTTCATGGACTATCTCTGCCATTGGCGTGGATTTTTAAATCATATTTTTTCATGGACTATCTCTGCCATTGGCGTGGATTTTTAAATCATATTTTTTTCACGGACTATTATTATTACTAATAAACTTTTTTCCTCTCCCACCTTTTTCAGATCTCTTCAAATACCACTCCCGCCTGTCGATGACCCTAACCTCGATTGTTAATGAACCAAATTGCCTCAGCTATTTTGTACAATACTTGGACAAGAAAAATGCTTTGTCATTTATAAAATTTTATTTGGATACAAAGAATTTTAAAAATGCTGCATTGGCACAATTGCGAAAAGAGCTCAAAATGAAAATGATAGCACAACAAATACCCGAAGAGGGTGAAACTGAAGTCACAACAACTGCAGCCACAAGAATAACCACCACAAACAGCTCCAATGATACTGATGATGATCAAATTCAAAATAAACAACAACAGCAGCAGTCGGCCGATATAACCGCCAATGGTGGGAGACATATCAATGATAGAAGTATTGGAGGAGGAGCTTCTATGCTCAAGCCTGGAGCCGCAAATAATAAACATGATTGTGATGACAATGATGAAGATGATGGTGGAGAAGAAAATATTGCTGATAACAGCCATGTACCTGAATTGAAAACTTTGTGTGATCTAACAATGCGCAAACCCCTAACCGATGATGAAAAATCACAAATATATGCCGAAACTAATAAGCAGATATATAAAAGTAACAATGAAAGACATAAACTCAAGGCTTCCTCGGAACTATCGCTGTGCAGTTTGATGAGTAATTTATCGGAAATAAATGAAAATGCCATTATCTCCTTGGCCAGTGTTAAGGATGCCTTGGCAATCTATAAGAAATACCTGATACAAGATGCCAAGCAACGTATCGAATTACCAGTAGATATACTCTCGAAAATATCCTTGATTATATGCAAAAAAGAGGCTAATGAAGATGATGCCACCACCTCCATAACGGCTGATTGTTTTCTGGAGGCTCAGGAATATGTTTTCCAGAAATTGGAAAGGGAATATCTCAATGATTATTTGCAAAGTACCTATTATGCCAAATATTGTGTGGATCTCATAGAGCAACAATGTTTAAATGTCAATGATATACTGCACAGTGAGGTGACATTGTTTTATTTTATGGAATATCTGGAGCAGCACAAGGAACGGGATTGTTTGGATTTTTGGTCAACAGCGATAAATTATCGCAAAAGTTATCTCAGCCATGATGCGGGATATTTGAATGAGAAAGAGGCCCAATCCGATGCCATGATAATCTATGAGAAATTCTTTTCATTGCAAAATGAAACTAAGCTTTGGTCTTCGAACAAATTAAGGGCTCATGTGGAAGCGGCAATCTGTACAGATGGTATGGTATATCATTGTTTTGATTTACCCCTAAAAGTGGCGGCCAAATATCTTGAACGTAAATATTTGAAATCGTTCCTAAAATCTTCCTTGTTTTCAAATTACCTAAATGAGTTAAAATCAAAGATTCAAGAAGAGACGGAAACTAAGGAAAGTCTGGTAAAAATTCCTTCGAAAATTGCTTTGCGACGATGTGTCAGTGACAAAACTTCAAATAGACATCGTAAAACTTTGTCAGATTGCACGTTGGATAATAAGATAACAATTTCCCAGCACAACACCCTATTGGCCTCAATGGATAATCATTATCCGCATGCGCACAGCGCTCAAACCACACATCATAATTTATCTACATCTTCCTCTACATCCAATTTAAAACAATTCCAATTGAATATTGATTCGTCACAGCTCACAAATCCCGATTTACTATGGCATCGTTCAAATTGCAATAATTTAAAATTCGGACGGGTCAATTCATTGGGCCGTTATGAACGAGATTTTGAATCTCCTGCCGATGCACTGCACAAAACTCCACAACATAACAGTGGCGGCAGCAGCAGCAGTAGCTCAAGTAATTGGCCTTTGTCGGGACTGAGCGGCACTCGTCTAAAGAATGCAATGCGTAAATTAATTAATTTACCCGAAGATAATGTACAGGAAGAAATTGCCTGGCAAGTTGCCGAAATGATTGTGAAAGATGTTACAAGTGTTACTATGGGCACCGGAGCTGTGAATCAATCGACGAATGTGAAATCTCCAACAACAATGGATGTTAAAATGCACAAAGTATAGAGTAAGTTGATTTTAAGTTTATTTTTTATGATTTTTTTTTTAATATTTGTTATTGTTATTTTATGTCAATGCAAACATACAACTATATACGAATATCTCGCGCTCTCTCTCTATTTTATTCTGAATCTATTTTAATTTACATTGAATCTCTGAATACAAATGTTTTAAAACAAATTTTGAATAACATTTGAAAAATGTTAGTATTATTAATTTTTATTATTCAAAAACCTACTACCCAAGTACCAGATATGCTGCACAGAACAAAATCAACCATTTTCAATCTTTCAGGAAAAATAATAGCAATTTTTTCAAGAGTCACTCTATTTTAAAAGGGGTATTCCACTTGATCCTACGCATTTTCAAATTCAATAGTTCCACAGGCTTTCAAGAGTATGCCCTTGGGCTTTCTCAAATTTGAGTTGTGATATCAGTTTCATCCCTCTGCCCCATGACTTTTTTCCATTCACTTTCTCGTTGCAGTAGTACCACTACAGTGTGGTGTAGGTTATCTTTTGTGCCACAATTTGAATACTATTTTTCCAAGAATTTATTAATCTAAGTTTATGCGATATCTATAATCAATTCCTTTTTTATCTTACTATGAATACTCGCTTAAAACCACAATGAACAAGCAATATCTATAAAATAATCTTACATTTTATTTAAAAAAAAAAAATGATTCTTTATTTTTAAAATGAATTTAATTCATTTTTACATCTTCAATATTTCCTAAAAAAAAAATATTTATATAAAATTTTGCAACATTTTGTTTTCCTCAATCTCCATGGGTTGTTTAAGAAATGAATAATCCTATATATTTATAAAAAGTAAAAACTCGCTATGTAAACAATAAAAATTATTTAACTATAATAATATATTAAAGAAAATATTTATATGGAAAACAAAAAGTAAAAAAAAATCAAAATTCACTATGAAATTCAAAATGAATGGATTCGAACTTTTGTTTTTTTTTTTTTGTAAATAATTAGTTTAGTGCGTTTACAATTCATGTTTGAGTCATGTGCAGTGTAATGTTGTCATATTTTTATTTAATATTTTTATAGCATACTTTCAGGCGCTTCGAAAAAAAAAAAAATGTTTTTAAATCTAAATAATAATAAAATCTTAATATAAAGTGCATTATGCTTTACTACTTTATAAGATAACTATACAGGGTGAGATGAAAAAACTGCAAAAAAGTCAAACGTCATAATTTTTACATTTTTTTTAAATTTAATTGAATGAAAGCAAAAAATGTCGGAAATAACACCATATTTTAGAATAAGTTTAGATTTGCTCGAATTCGACACCTCTGGCACGAATTATGGCCTTCAAACGTCCAATGAAACCGTCACACGCTGCCCGAATATTGCTCTGAGGTATTTTGGCCCATTCCCGGGGCCACTTGGTATCTTTTCGTGCCAACTTTGCTTTCCAAAATACTCCAGACACAATAGTCCAACGGGGATTGGTATTCGGAGTTTTTGTGCACTGGAATAAAAGCGAGGAACCTCATTTTGTAACCATTCTTGGGTGACGCGTGCTGAGGGCTATGATGCTGAGTTTTGTGGGAATGACCAAGCTCTGCGGCCAAAATGTTTCGTTGTCCAAGGCTTCAATACACCCTCCAGAATATTTTCACGATAATAGTCACCATTTATTTTGATGCCACGGTCGATTAATACGAGTTGAGAGCGAACATCGGCTGTTATGGCGGCCCACACCATCACTATGGCCGACGCTTGGTGGTCTGATGGTCAACCGAAGGTGCACATTTGCAGCTGACCTCTTTGGCAAGTAAAAACGCTCATTTTGTTTGTTTACAAACTGCTGGACAACGAATATTTTCCCATGGGAGAAACCCAAATTCGGCAGTTCACCACTTTCGGCCAAGCGAAGCAACTATTTAGCTCCTTTGAGTCTATTTTCTTTCCGTTGCGGTGTAAGTTCTTGCACTTTTGGAATTTCAATGGCTTTACCCCGAGCTCATTTGTTTAATATTTGCCGAATTTAATATTGCGATATGATATCACGAGCCATATTTCGGCCACTGTGACGCGTGTTTAGATAAAGTCACTTCTTTACTTTTCGAACCATTTCTGCTGATGTTGCTTTTTTTCCGTCCAGCGATGGTACGAGACACAAAAGATTTATTCACATTTAAATGCTGGAGTGCTCTAACGATAGCCACGCTTGGATTCCATCACGAATAACCTTTTTTCTGGAAAAAATGATTTTGTACGCTTGTAAAGAATATAATGAGCTGTCACTGGAACAATTTTAACAGCTGTAAGACGAGTGGCTTAGAAATGACAGCAGTCTGAAGTTGGTTGCAGTTTTTTCATCTAACCCTGTATATTAGTTTATATTACATCTTTTTTGTTAAAAATCATGGTTGAGAGTGCTCAAAAGTATGCTACAAAAATAATAAATAAAAATATGAAAACTTCACTCCTCATTGGACTCCATTATAATTTGCAAATTAGCCTCTAATTGTAAATCTATTAAAAGTATTTATTAATAAAGTTTCTCATTTGATTTGGATACAATCAGAATATTGAAGAACAAGCTGTTAGACATTGTTTTTTTACATTACTTTTTGTTTTCTTGTAAATACTCCAATATATATCTATCCTATTAAAATGATATTTATCTATATAATCATAATTTTTTCTACTACTATTTCATACATCCTATTCCTCAGTAAAAAGACGAATACAATTAAATTATGATAGCTTTTGGAATATATTTAAAGAAATCTCATCAATATCCCCATAGCATTGAATCAATAATATTTACATATACATTTAAAGTTATAATTGGAAAGGGGTCCATATCGCACTCCAGAAGTATTGAATTTATAAACCTTTATTATTTGGAAAAAATCATATTTTGTCCTTTGGGGTGCCGAGATTATTCTCTATTGAATCAATTGTTGAGAAATGAATCTTATTTTTATTCTATAGCATTTCATTTTTTTCTAATATTTTTTTATATGGCTCGAGGTCATTATTCTGTTTCCTATATTTTTCAATCATTTAAATTTTCCAAATTATTTCATCTCCACGACCCAATGTCTCAAATTACTCCGGACTATGCTCTCTATTTACCTTGCAGCATTTAAAATGCTCTATTCTCCCCTATATTTTTATTTATTTCAAAGAATTTATTATTTTATAAAAGTTTTATTTTTTATACATATATTTAACCATTCCATTTATATCCTCAAAGAAAAATAGTTTTAACATTAAAGTATACATTTTTGTTATTTATAAATAAACTATTTTATTTTTATCAATATATAAATGTTATTTGTTTAAAACTAGAAATTGATTTAAGTTCGAGATACGCATAAGCGTCATAAAATTATTATTATTGAATATTAATAAATATTTTCTAAATATATAAACACAAACATTTTCTATATATTTTACAATTTTTCAACAAATTTCTTTTAATGAAAATCAATCAATTTTTGAACTCAATAAACACCTGCGAGTATATCCCAACATAACGAATCTAAAGCTCCTTAGTTAAAAGGAGGCATAACCAAATCCATCGTGTATAAACATCGAATTTTAGCACTTCAAACACAAGTAACAAATGTGAAATCAAAATGTCAAATATTTCGAAGTGCAGAAAAAAAAAAAGAAATTAATCCAAGGGACGAAGTTGCGTAAACCTGCAGACTTCTGACCACTACAGAACAAACTTCCCTAAGCTTGACTCTAGTGACCCATACATACAGGATGAGATAACAAAAATTCAACTAAGTCAAACGCCATAATTTTAAAATTTTTTTTAATTTTATTGAATGAAGGCAAAAAATGGCGGAAATATCATTAAATTTTAGAATAAGTTTGGATTTGTTCGAATCGCTCATCTTTGGCACGAATTATGGCCTTCAAATGACCAATGAAACCGTCACAAGCTGCCCGAATGTTGCTCTGCGGTATTTTGGCCCATTCCCGCCGAAGCGATTGCTTGAGGTTATCGACATTTTCGTATTTAGTGTTTAGTGCTAACCTTGCTTTCCAAAATACTCCAGATACAATAGTCCAACGGATGGGTATACAGAGATATTGGAGGCCATTGTGCGCTGGAAATGAAGCGAGGAACCTCATTTTGTACCCATTCTTGGGTGGCGCGTGCTGAGTGCGATTGCGCTGAGTCCTGTTGGAATGTCCAAGGTCTGCGGCCAAAATGTTTTCGTGACCAAGGCTTTAATATACCCTCCATTATATTTTCGTGATAATATTCGGCATTTATACTGATGCCACGGTCGATTAAGTCCTGTCATTGGAAGTCCTGGGAAGATATTCTTTAAAAATCCACGTTTGAATGTCTGTAAGTCCTGGGAAGATATTCTTTAAAAATCCACTCCTGAATGTCTGTAAGTCCTGGGAAGATATTCTTTAAAAATCGACGTTTGAAGGTATGCCGGTCCTTGACCTGCTGGTCTGTAGGTCCTTGAAAAAATATTTTTTAAAAATTCACGTTTAAAGTTTTGTAGGTCCTTGAAAAATTATTCTTTAAAAATCTACGTTCAAAGGTCAGTAGTTCCTACTTTAAAAATGCACTTTTAAAGGTCTATAGGTCCTTGAAAAATTGTGTTTTTAAAATCCACGTTTAAAGGTCTGTAGGTCCTTGAAAAAGTATTTTTTAAAAGTCTACGTTTAAAGGTCTGTAGGTCCTTGAAAAAGTATTTTTTAAAAGTCTACGTTTAAATGTCTGCAGCTCTTTGAAAAAATATTCTTTAAAAATCCACGTTCATTTGGCTGTATTTCCTTGAAAAAATATTCTTTAAAAATCCACGTTTATTTGGCTGTATTTCCTTGAAAAAATATTCTTTAAAAATCCACGTTTATTTGGCTGTATTTCCTTGAAAAAATATTCTTTAAAAATCCACGTTTATTTGGCTGTATTTCCTTGAAAAAATATTCTTTAAAAATCCACGTTTATTTGGCTGTATTTCCTTGAAAAAATATTCTTTAAAAATCCACGTTTATTTGGCTGTATTTCCTTGAAAAAATATTCTTTAAAAATCCACGTTTATTTGGCTGTATTTCCTTGAAAAAATATTCTTTAAAAATCCACGTTTATTTGGCTGTATTTCCTTGAAAAAATATTCTTTAAAAATCCACGTTTATTTGGCTGTATTTCCTTGAAAAAAT